GAGGAAGGCCCGGGGCCTCGCCTCTCGCCCGGCAGCATTCACTGTCCTACGACAGCCACCCCCATGGGGCTGGGCTGGAATTTCCAGCCAGCATCTCCCACAGGATCAGGTTTGGGCCCTTCCCGGCCCCTCCTGAGCCATTTCCACCCCACTGATTGCTCTGCCCTGCAAATAAGGGGGGGAAATGCCAGGATTTGGGAACAAGAAGAAAAGCCACCCTACACCCATGCACTAACCACGCTGCACCCCGATTTCCAAGGCTTTTCCCCCCACTGGGCACCCTGATGGCACCCTGAGTGCAAGCGGGCAATGTGCCACCCAGCACCCACGGGCGCTCAGCTTCCCACCAGCCCATCCCTGTCCCGTCGTACCTGGGGGATGCTGCGGTGTCCCCCCTTTTCCCGGGATGTGGGGGCTCCTCGCACCGCTCCGTGCCGCACAGCCCGGCCTTTCAGCACAGGAGGAGGAGGAGGATGAAGAGGAGGAGGAGGAGAACCATGCACGCTGCTGCCCTCCCATCCGACAAGCGCGGGCAAGTTGGCGGCGCGATGCCCGCGGGGCAGGAGCCAGGAGATGAGTGGGAGCCCAGCCCTGCCCCGTCTGGGAGCAGGGAAAACGCCGGCTCTGCCAAACCCAGATCTGGTTTCACCACCGCGACCTGTCCCCCGTGGGGAAAAGCATCTCACAGCAGGTGGGAGACACAACCCCGCTGGATGAAATCCCTTCTCCAAGGACAAAACATGTGCCGGCAGCACAGACACAGGCTCGGCCACAGGAAAACCATGTTGGCAGCACATCAGACAATGAAAACCACCTTTTTCTCACCCAAAATTTAAAGCTCCCCCTTATTCCCAGCTGCCTCCCCTGCTGCTGAGTCAGCACCGGCACTGCTGAGTCATCACAGCCCGACGCCAACCGGCCCCGTGGTGAGCTCAGCCGCGGGGGCTTCGGCACCTCCACGCTCACCGGAGTTGCATGTTGAGGCTTTAACCGGCTCCTCTGACCACATTTTGGGGTCTCTCCAGCCTCTGCCCCCCTAAAAACCCTCACCCATCCCCAACACTCAGCATTGCCTTGAACCCACAGCTACCAAAACGCAAGGTAGGGCTGGGCAAGGAAACCAGCAGCACTTCAGCTCTCCCACCCTGTGACCGGTGCTGCAGTCCTCACCAAAACACCCCATCACGGACAACGTACGAGCCGCAGCCGCCGCGCGCATCCTCCCCATCTCGCTCGCCAAATGGGAATGGTGAAAAGAAGGGGGAAATAACCCATAAACCATGGAATTTCACTGGTTCTTTTCCCCCACGCTGGGGTCATGAGCACCGTGGGGGGAAGCGCCAACGCCGCCTCCGGCTTCCCCGGCCCGGTGACGGGGTTGATGACTCATGGGGAAGGAGGGGGGAAGCGGCGCGTGCACGGGGCCGTCATGTTTGTAAACCTAAAATAAGCCATGTGCGGGCAGGCAGCGTGCGCCGAGCCAGGCGCTGCAGAGAGGAGCACGGGGACAGGCCAGGCACCGGCTCCCGCTGTCTTCCTCACAGCATTCCAACCAGGGAATGCTCAGCCGGTGGGAGAAGATGGTCCCACTGTGATGGCTTTAATTGGCACGGTTTGACGTGCACGGGCTTTAATTGCAATGGGTTTAATTGGCACAGCTTTGAGGGTAAGGGCTTTAAATGCAACGGCATTAGGGGCAACGGCGCTAGATGCAACGGCGTTAAATGCAACGGTGTTAGATGCTACAGCATCCATTACATGCAATGGTGTTAAGGGCAATGGCGTTAGATGCAATGGTGTTAAAGGCAATGGCATTAGGAGCAACAGCCTTAAATACAGTGACCAACTGCAACACCAACCAGGGTTTCTAAGAGCCTCGGGGTCTTTAAAGCCCCTGACCCTGTTGCTGCTCATCCCCCTTCCATACCCTATCGCCTCCCAACACGTTTGCAACAGCTCCCAGGATGCTTCCCAGCCAAGCTGGGAAGAAGGGGGCTGTGGTGACCTGGGCTCTGTAGTGACAAACCCTGTTGGCCTTGCTCAGCATCCCCTCAGCCTCCATGCTGATGACTGCAATCCATTGCTCCAATCCATTTTCCAGGCTTAGGGGTGGTTCGGAAGCCTTTTTCCCCCCATTTGGCTGTGCTGAAAATTGCAGGCTCGGGAGCTCGTGGTCCCCAGCTCCCCCGTTCGACAGCAAAATCTCATTTAATCAAAAGATGCAGTGACTGGATGTGCAGAAGCACTTCTCTTTCTTTTTTTTTCCCCCTTAAGAACTGCCATTTTAGCTGTAGCAAACAAACATGCCACATTGTCCCCACGAAACAACAACCCTGCCTGCAAATCCCCGCTCGGCAGCCTTGTCCTGCCACCAGCTCCCGGGAAAAGGGCACTTTGGCTATGGAAGAGAGGAGAAAATTGGGCTCGAGCTCGGTTTGTGGGACTGGCAGTGGCGTGGCAGGCAGATGTGGAGCAGGGATGGAGCTGATCGCAGCTGTTTTACCTCCAGCCTCTTCTCGTTTCATTTCATCTCCCTTTGGATGCCAGCCCAGGGAGGGGGATATAAAAAAAAGCTCTTTCATCCTCAAAAACGGTCTGGCACCCTCGCACTGAGCTCAAAGCAGCCAGATTAAATAGCTGGCAGAGGAGGGGAGAGGGGGAAACGGTCCCCAGGAGGGCTGGGTTTGGGGTGCATCGCTCTCATCCCAGCCTGCATCCCAAGCCGCGATGGGGACAGCGAGGAGAAGAGGACAGTGGGATTTGGCACAGACCCTTTTGCCACCATCCCATCATGGCTCCCTGCATGCATGTGGAGCGAGGGGCACGGCGGGGACCCTGGCGCATGGTGGGGAACGGACAGGGAATGGGGATCCCATTGGCATAAGTACAGGGATTAGGGATGCCGGCACGTGCAGGCAAGGGACTGAGGACCCCACTGCACAGGGACAAGGACAAGGGAGCCCAGCATGCACAGACAAGGGACAACACTGCCATAGGGATGGGGACACGAGTCCCTTGCACAAGAGCAAGGGACTAAGGACACTGATGCAGTGGAGATGGGAACTGGGGAACTTCGGCACATGTAGGACAGGATGTTATAGGAACAGGGACACACAATTGCCACAGGCACAAGGGACCTTGGTACACACACAGTGAGGGGACTGAGGACCCCAATGCCATATGGACGGGAACGAGGAACCCCAGCACACACAGGCAGGGGTCCAGGTTCATGCTGTCAGATGGGGACCTGGCACATATAGGCAGGGATCCAAATATCCCAATGGCATGAGGACAGGGACCTCAACACATGCACAATGCCATAGTGATGGGAACCAGGGACCCCAAAGCATGTGGGCAAGGGAGCAAGGACTCTGATACCATGGGGACAGGGTACCCCAACACATGCAAGAGGGGACTGGGGACCCCAGTGCCATGGGGAGAGCTCACTGGGGACCCCCTGGGACAGACCCTCAGCACAACCACACATCCCAGAGGCACCGCACCACCATGTCACCGTCCCTCATCCCCAGGCTGTGGCTCGCAAAGCCCCACCAAGAGAGGCCAAAGTGGAAGGGGGACATTCTGCCTTTCAAGGTCCCACCAGATCCACCTCTCCCCTTAATTACCTGCCATAAAAAGTCCAGGTCTGAAAAACAAACCTCGTCAGAGCTAATGAGGTGCCAAAGGCCGCGAGCGGGGTTTATGGGGTAACAACCTGCGAGGACTCTGCTCTGGCGCTGCCAATCCCTCCCCAGCATGATGCAACCTCATCCCCGCACCCCGTGGTACCCGGCACCTGCGCCGGGGTCTTTCCCACAGCATCCGCGGATCTGGAGGCAGCTCCGGCGTTGGCGGGCGCATCCCGGGTGCAGGATCTGAAGCATCCCCATGCCTCGAAAGCACGTGGCGCCGAAATCGCTCAGCACCGGCTCAAAACTTCAGGGGCGGCGTTTCGGCACCGCGGCGATGTCCTCCGGTGACACCGGCACCACGCTTGATCCCATCCGCCACCAAACCACGGCATTCCCGGCACCGGGATAACCCAAATCAACGCCTCGGATGGTGAATGAGACCCCCCCCACCATGGAGAACAAGCCGCCTTTCATCCCCACTCCATCCTATTCCCGTTATTCCCAATGTGATGACAAGGTGGGGGGGGAAGCCTCATCCCGACCGGACCCCGTGTCCTCATCCCCAGCAAAGGGGGGTGACAGCGGCCGCGTGACGTCACCGTGACGTCACGCGGGGGGGGAGGGGGGGGGAGCCTCATCGCCCTTGTTAGCATCATCGTTACCTCTGAGCTCAGCACATTCGGGGGGGGTGGAGGGTTAATTAAATCATAATTAACAATATAATAATGACGATAATAAAATGATGGAGAGCAATTGGGGTAATAAAGATTGGGGGGGGGAGGCGATATATTCCTCCCCTCCTTTCCAACCCCCATCTACACACCACCCCCCCACCCCCACCCCCCCCGGTAGCCTCTGAAGGTAAAAAAAAAGGGCTAAAACAAGGCAAAACAGTCAAAATCACCCCAAAACGCTTGCGGGCCTCGTTCGCTCCGTGCCTGCCGCTCCCCCCCCCGCCCCACGGCTTTGTCCTCCCGGCCGGGCCGCGCTGCCGCCGCTCACCCACCCGCAACCGCGACACGGGGCTAAGGGGGGGGGACGACACCCGGGGCTGCACCCCCACACACACCCAGCCCCACAGCACACACCGGGGCTGCACCCCACACACACGCACCACCCCCCCCCCCTCAGCCCCACAGCACACACGGCCATGGAGGAGGGAAGGTGGGGGGGGGGGGATGCATCGTGGATTCGGGGTGCGGGAGGGGAATGCGGGGTGCAGGGGGGTGCGGAAGGGGGTGTTTTATTGGGGGGGGGGTTACTCACCTCGCCGCTCCCCCCCCGCGCTGCCCCGCCAGCCCCCGCCGGGCCCCGCACGGCCCCGGCCCTCAGGAGGAAGCCATCTTGTCTCCCTGCTCCGCGCTCCCTCACCGCCGCCCTGCTGCAGGCGGGGGGGGGGGTGACCGCCGCATCTCTTCTTCCCCCCCCTCTCCTCCTCCTCCTCCTCTTTCCTCCTCCTTCCTCCTCCTTTCCTCCTCCTCCTCCTCCTCCTCCTCCTCCTCCTCCTCCTCCTCCTCTTCCCCCCCCCCACACGCAGCGCGACACCGCCCGGCCGCTGAGGAGAATGGGGGGGGGGGGGGGGGGGGGCTGAAGCGCCTCCTCCGCACAATTAAATGTGGGGAACGGGACCCCCAAACCTCGGTTGTGCCCCCCCCACACAGGGAAACTGAGGCAGAGGCCCATGGTGGGGAATGGGAGCAGCAACACCCCCTAAAGCAGCCGGGGGGGGGCTAAATTAACGCCCCCCCCCCTTTTTCCTACTGTTATTATTATTCCTACTTATTAATTAGGGGATGTTATTAATGAGGGGATATTGGAGCTTTGCAATGCTTAAATGCAGGCCCCGATGAGGTAAGGGGGGGATAAAGGGGTGTTTTCCCCTAGGGAAGGCAATGGGAATGGGCCAGCGAAAGGGTTAAGCCAGAGCTGAGGCTTTAAAACAGCCCTGGTGGGATCAGCTCCAGCTTTTCCAGGCTCTGTCCGGAGCTGGCAGGTCCCGGATATGGTGCACATATGTATTTGGAGACAAGAGGGAGGAAAAAGGGAAGAGGGAAAGGGAATTCCCCCCCCAAAAAATCCTTCCCCATCCATGTCTTAGGGGTGATGCTCCTGGGATGCTCCCGATTTGGAGTTTTCCAAGCCTATTCCTGCCTGAATTGTGGGCAAAACATCGACAAACTCAAAAAGTCGCAAAGGTTTCCCGGGAATAACTCGTTGAAAACTGTTTTCCCATCAGATTTGCGTCAGAAGGAGCGATCCAAAGATCCCCAGGCCCGCGTGATGCCGAGTGGCGTGGATAAACCCGAGTCCAGGTGGGAAACGAAACCACGGACCCAACATCCCTGGGATATTCCCCAAAAGACCAAGCCGCGATCCCTATTGCCGGAGCCTGCCAGATCCGACCTTTGCTCCAAGCAACACGACTCCCATGGGAATCGGAGCATAAACTGGTGCTGGGAACTGGTTTCCCCCGCCCCGGTTTCCCACCTTGTGGCAATCCCGCTTGGCCAAGCCCGGCACACAACAGGTTGCTGCAAAGGACACGGCGGGGATTTAATTAAGGCAGACACCTCCTTCCTCACATCCTCCTCCTCCTCCTCCTCCGGCCGGATAGAGCAGCGCATCCTGGTGATCTGCTCCCGCATCATTTTAGCTGTTAGCATCCCAGCGGAGGCACGGGGGCCGCGGCGCTCCGATGAATCCCCGGGTCACAACCCTTCAGGTGACACCGGGATGCATCCCGGCTGCTCCTTCATCCCATCCATCCCCCTGGTGCTACTTTGGAGATGCCGGACTCAGTTCGGGGCCGGCGACAAGAACATCCCAACCCAAGCCACCAGGGAACCCCCTTGAGATGGGTAGATTTAGTAACTTTGTATTAGTAATGCTTTAAATTATCCCTAATTTCCAGCGTTTGGCATGGAGACAGCCGAAATTCTGTTAGAGGCTTGCATTTCCCAACTCTGGGAACACCTTGAGCCACGCAACATCCCACCATCACCCAGCGAAAGGCTTTTAGGGGCCTGGCATCACCATTCCTGCCGGGAATGGAGCTTCCCGTGGGGTTTATTTAAGGTTTGCCCCATTTGAAGCTGGGAATATGGCTCAGAGCATCATTCCCTCCACCAGCTCCCGTCTTTGCTGGGAGGTTTGAGTGGCTCTTGTTGGAAACCAGAGGCTTCCTGGCTTTGCCATATATTTACTCGCATATATATATGTGTGAGTAAATATATACATATGTATTCCCTTACATGTATATCCTCACAGCTGTAGTGAGTTCCCAAGATGTTGATTAGTTATGGAAATGGCAAAGGAAAGTCAACCGGAGAGGGCAGGAGAGGGTCCGGCAGTGCCATGGGACAGGGAGCAGAGTGAAATCTCAGCCTCTGGCATCTCCCTCCTCCTCCTCCTCTCCCAAATCCCTCATGGATGGAGATGCATCAAACCCCAAGAGAGACGGCACAAGCGCGGCTCCAGCGATGGAGGTTCAAGGGGAGACACCGGCATTCCCAGGCCCAGCCAAGCCGGAGGAACTGGCGGAACAGGTGCCGGGAATGGGGCTTCGGCTGCCAAACCACCCCGGGAAAGGCGCCGGGACGTGGGAACTGCGGCACACCCGGTGCTACCAGGCCCAGCCCGGAGCAGGCACCTGGCTTCCCAAAGGAATCCCACCGCTGCCGACCCCGGCTCCGGCAGCATCCTTATAAATCATCTTTAGCTCACCCGGACAAGTGCTGGGGCTCCAATCTCCACCATTGCACCGGTGTTTTGCCAAGGGCAAAGTCCTTTCCCTTGCCTTTCACTGTGCCAAGCACCAGCCGAGCCCTCTGTCCCCATGTCCCCACATCCCCATCCCATCATCCCACCACCCATCCCAAGGGCAAAACCTGCTGGATACAGCTCAGGAGGCGCAAGGCAGCCGCTCACCACCCCCACCCCCCTCCCCAGCACCACAAAATAGAACAAGAACAGCAGTTTTGGGGGGTAAAATCCTAAAAGTAACCCCCAAAGAGATGCTTCTCCTTCCCCACCTCTCCATATGGAGACCCCCATATCCGGAGCCATCCCCCCCATCCTTCTGCCTGCTGGGATGTGATATTGAAATCCCAGTTACAACCACCCCGGCCAGTAAAACCAGTTAAGTGCCAAAGGAAAGCACTGGGGATGACAATGCCACCGCTTGTTAGCTTGAGCACAGCTCCGACCTCCCCATGTGCCCCCTTCCTGCCACCCCTTTCTTCTTGGGGACACCCCCCCCCCCCCGTGATGGCAGCTGGATTTCACAGTGTTTTGCCTTCTTAATCAAGTACTTCAATATAAAGGTGGGGTTTGTGCTATGTGTCCACACTGCAACAGGGTTTTGGGGACACCCCAGGTACCAGCTGAGATTTGAGGGGGGGGCTTAAAGCATCAAAGTGGCCTTTAAGGCACCAAAAGCCCCATTTCCCATGGAAATACCCTAGACAAGATAAACCCATCCACCAACCAACAAGGGGCTTCCCCAGGAGCCCCCCTTCCAAGTACCGGTGACGCTATCACCACCGCAAAGAGGCCACGAATCACCCCATAAAGGTGACGGTGTCACAGGCGGGGGGCGACACGGGTGGGTTTGGGGTGGGGTGGGGGGGCACTCACCTCCCATAGAAGCCCTTTGCACCTCTCCCCGTGGCTCAAGTCAGATCTCGGGGCTCCCCCCTGCTCCGGGGCAGCGCAGGGAAGCGGTGCCTGACCCGGCTGGGCAGAAGGACCGGGTGGGTGCCCGGAGCCGGGTGACGTGGGGCGCCCACACTCTTTCCATTGACTCCCCACTCAAATCCCACCAAAACAAAGTGCTGCCCCCCCCCCCCCCCCCCGTTATTCCCACCTCCTTTTTATTCCCAACCCCATTTTGTCCTTGCTTTTCCCCTGAAATCCACGCAAGCTTCGCACAACTTCAACCCCTGCGCCGCACAACTTCAGCCGCACACCACCAACTTTCCACCTCCCCCCCCCCCAAAAAAAAATGAAATAGAAAAGAGCATTACCGGAATAAAGGGGTACAGCACCCCCCTCGGAAACGGGGGGCCGGGGGGGGTCGAGCCGGAGCTACGTGCATGCACAGCGGAGTGTGGGATGTTGGGATAGCGAGAAGAGGGGTTGAAATGCGGTCGTAGCGTTCCCCCCTCCACCCCGAGCGGGTGTTGCAGCGGAGCTGCACGTTGTTGCTGCTGCTGCTGCTGCTGCTGCTTCCTTTGTTCTACAGGCGCTCGCTCGGGGGTCCCAGCGCCGGCCGGGGGGGCTCAAGGCCAGCGCCCTGTGAACCCCCCCCATTGCTTTGCAGCGAGCGAGACTGGGGGGGGGGATACCCCTAAACCCTGTGGGGTTATGGGTGGGGGGGGGGGTGGTGTTGGGGGGTAAGAGGGAAAGAGACGGGGGGGGGGCATGTGAGTTAGGGAGGGAGTGGTTGTTGTAGGGTGGTTGGTTGTGGGGGAGGCACTGGGTGGTGTTGGAGGGTTTGGGGGGCTGTGATTTGGGGGTGTGGTTGATGTGGGCTGCACTGGGTGTTGTTGTAGGGTGGCTGGATGGGGAGGGGTCACCCTACAGAGCCAACCCCCCCCCCCCCCCGCAGCAGCAAAACCCACTCCAAACCCAGTCCCAGCCAGACCCACACCCCCAGTGCCACAGAAACACCCCAGGAGTGGAGGTACAATGTGTCCTCCCAGCGTGGGACAGCACCCACTGCAGCCCCCCCGGCCCCACGCTCCCCACCAGCAGCTCAAGGTGCAGAAGAGCTTAGATTTTAATTTAAGGGGATAAAATAGCTACAAAAGAACCAAATACAGGGGCTGGTGTGAGCTAAATGTGAGCCACGATGATTTCCCATTGGAATTGAACCACCTTATGGAGCATCCTGGCTCCAGCATCCATATAGGGAATCCTATAGATGGAGAAGGGGTCATGGTCATGACCTGGTCCCCAAAACACACAGGGAGCTCATCATTCACCCTGAAACCATCCCATGCTGCCAGTGCCTTAAATACACCCTGGATAATAAGGACCAAAGGGGACAGTTGAGGAGCAGGATTTGGCCCTTGTCCTTTGGGATCTTCGTCCGGAGCTGGCTTGAGGTGGGTACCGGAGGGCAGGAATGATGCTGCTGCCGCTCAGAGCGGGTCAGGATGTGATGGCAAAGCTTTGGATTGCAGCACGGTCACAAAAGCCTTCACCTGCAAGAGAAGCTGATTGAGCGTGGCACCGGGATGGGGCTGGGATGGGACTGGGATGGCATCAGGATGTGGCTAGGATGGCACTGGAATAGCACTGGGATGGCAACTGGATGTGGCTGGAATGGCACTGGACAGCCCTGGGATGTGGCTGGGATGGCATTAGGAT